TTTTTACAGTAAAATCAAAATGTGGAAAGATACCTAGTTCATAGAATTAATCTACTTGTACAATGATGGTTGACAAGATTTGTTGACAATGTTTGATATGTTGATTTAAAAAATATTTTTTGAAATAGATGAATGTGATGATGCCAAATCATGATTGTCAACAAATTTTGTCAACCATCATTGTACATGTAGCATGATTGCCCCTAAAATTGTGCCTATTCACATTTCAATCAAAACCTCCACCCAAAAACCTCTTCAACGTATATGATCCCAAAAAAATCTCAAAACCCTATTAGAGAATGATCTTAGACAGATATCAGGGTACATAATCCCTACATTATTCCAAAAATCAAATCCCTTCTTCTTATTTTCCAGGGTTGGTTAGGGATGTATCGAGGTTATAAAATCCTAAATCGGAGGTGTGCTAACAACCATATTCTCTCAAATTCAATCCATTCGGTGTAATACGAAGTGGGTTTCAAGATTCCAACAGACTATAGCAACCGGCAAAAGCGGTTCCAATATGGGCTTCAATTAGATCAAGCACACAGTTGGAACCACAAATCCTGATGCTGCTACAAGTCGCCCTTTCCAACTAAGTTAGGTATGGGTCCAAAAAAATGCTGATTCTTCTTATGTTTCTGCTCCCCAAAATGTTTTCATTATAATCACGATTTAACCATGCATCCCATTATTTCAAATTCATTAACAAATGAATTGTTGTTCTTCTTCCTTTCAATTTTATAAATATACATTATTAACGGGATGATCGATGAAATGGGCAAGAACTTTCATCCGAACACAGCTAGATCAAAATTGGCCTGTCAACTATTCAAACACGGTGGTGAGAAGTTGATTGAAGAATACAACACGAATTTTGATCTAGTATCACATAATGTCAGGCGCGATAGGAGGTTGAAAGGTGTAGTCATTGAATAGATTTTGTAGACTGAACGTTTTAGATGATGTTAGGTTATGTGTGTGAGTTAAACATGTCCGGCAGATTTGGTTTACATTTTGAATGTTATTTTGTTCAGTAGTTTATGTCAAGCATTTTGCTATGTTCACCTTCATGCAACAACATTTTTTAAATTAGTGCAATGAAAATGGAATCATGTTACCGAGTGACAATTTTTTCATTCAAATCTACAGTTATTCGGGCTTAAAATAGCGATATTTGGTATTTTTTTTGACAAAATATATCATAAATTGTTGTATTTTATATTATATAGATAAAACTCAATGGTTGAATGAGGGATTAGAAAAAGACAAGGCAAAAATCAAGGGAAATTGTGAAATCGAAAGTATGGGGACCAAAGTGTGAACATCCAATAATTGATTCGAACCATAAAATGATGATTGAAGATCACATATGATCAATTGGGTGTAATTTGAAATCAAAGGAGTGAAATGTAGATGGAGTATTCTCACAAATCAACTACTAGCCTAAAAAATTATGCTCCAAACTTTTAGCCTCAACGTGATACCCATTTTTGGGTTAGCAAACGTTCGAATTGGAGAAATGCTAATTCTAGAAGAATTGTATCCCTTTGAATTTTCTTTTCAACGTAGTTTGAATTATATCAATCGAATATCGGGAGAGAAAATTATAACCAATATAATGAAAGTTGTTCATGGACGAACATACGTAAAACAGAGTGCGGGTGCGAGGCCCTATTTTCACCAGCCCGAGAGCAATTCATCTCGCCTGCACGTGCACAGACTATTTCCTCAGACAAATCAACTTGGCAAGTATTTTTATGAGATTTTTGACCTAAACTCGACCGCTTTATATACTTAAATGTCTCCTCTTGTCCACTATTATACATAAAAAATTCATTCATATTTCATAATAAAAAAAGGAGAGAGGAAAAATCATATATTGTGAGAAGATTTCCAAGGGAAGTTCAAGAACTCATCAATTAGATATTAAAACTGTGATTTGTGGGCATAGAAGAATAATTAAAGATTTATCAAGATTGCTTTGAAGAAATTCAAGAACGTCAAGATTCATATTCATTCATTCATTAATTCACAATTTTGGTTGATGTTCTATATATTTAACATTATTTCTTGTAATTTCTATATGTAATGCTAGTTTTATACATTGTTAGGATGAGATGAACCCTTATTATGATATTTTTAGTTTTAAATTAATTATTCTAACTTTAATTTGGTTTAATTTGTGGATGTTTATTATCGTGTTTATCATTGTTTTTAATTGTTTGATCACCAATTGAATTGTTAGGAATTTTATTGTTATCGAGAGAGATAATATGGTTTAAACACAATATAATAAAATATTGTAAGGTTCGATAGAAGATAGAGATATACCTTTATACTTTATATGATTTCAATGGGTGTTCTATCACTTTTTAATGTATTTATCATGTTTGCATCTTTCACCGAGAAATAGAAATGTCACACGAGGGGAATGTATTTGATCACTATCAAGAGATGCTTTTAATTAAATTAGAAACATTGACCTAGTGAATGATTTCAAATTTTCACTTTAATTGTTACACTAAAAATGGAATAACAATAGAGATTTGACATTTTAGCAATGAATCTCACGTATCTAAAAAACACATTTACTTGCTTTCACTAGTTTAATTGATATTTTAGAGATTGGTATAGAAAAATCACAACAACTTGCTTGCTATTTGATCAAGGTTGCAATTAATCTTAACTAGGTCAAACACATAGTTATCGTGAGTTCGACACTATATTCATCATTATATTAATTGACATAGTGCACTTGTGGGTTTTCGAAGGATCATTGTAGTTGAAAATTCTGAATGTGCCATTTTGAAATTAATTGTTACACGATTCTGTGTTCAATTATAAGCACAGTCCAATATAATGCATCATATAGCGAAGATCACAATGTATATGTCTTCTACAAACATATCGTTCTCATCCATGTTGTGATTATTTATTGCAAAAATTTTACTCTTTTCCTCACATCACAATTATGTATATATTGTTGAATAGTACTTGGAAGAATACCAAACACGAATAGAGAACATGTGGGTAGCCAAAATTAATAAAACAAAAATAAAAAAATCGAATCAATATAAACTATTAAACTCAAATTAAATATTTTATTCCCCGATAACGGTACCAAAAACTTGTTCGTGCAAAATCTTCAAGCGTACGAGATTGTTGACAAATAATAGATTTAGTGAGTTGAGAGTTGATATCTCATAAGAAATAAATTCAATTTAAGTTTACTAAATTTTTATGGAATTCGAATTATGCAAAACAAAAGAGATTTTTGATTTTATTTTTATTTTAAATTAATCTAAAACAATATGTAAAATTAGGATTCTTATCTATTTCTTGATGATTGTATTGGATTTAGAGTCCGCAAATTGTTTTCTATTTGATTCTCAATTTACGTAATTGAATCATGTTTATACGTTCTTGACAATTGATAAAGTTAAGATATATAGTTTTATTTTCTAAGACAAATTAAATTTACCATAGTCACGATCTGAATTTATTTCTAACCCGAATTCGAATGAATAGAGTGTATTAAATTTTAGATTATCTATATTATTGCACGTGTGATAAATGTTATTCCTAACATCTATCTCACACGTGTTAATTTAATTACCTCATTTTAAACTTATTGTGAAATTCTCGACACTACAACAAACAACTAATTATATAATTGTGATTAAGTAATTAAGTAATACAATAGATATGCAATATTATTCAAGAAATGCAAGAATTATTAAACTACTAGTTTGAATTAAAATAAATAAACTATAGGGTTCATCTTGATCCAATACAATGAATCTACCTAAACTTGTTTCAAATGATAGAACAATAAGAAAAATGGAAAAGCGTCCTCCGAAATTTATAAGTACAAAAAAGAGATGTTATTGTCTAATTTTTGTTCTTGATTATTAACCTCGAGCTTTGATTTTTCAAGTTCTTGATGCTTCTTAATTAAATTCACGTGCTAGATTTGTTATCCTCTTCAACTTATGATGAATTTGCTCCTCGGTTTTGAATGATTTTATGACATGGAAGTAATTTGAGAGGTGAGACAGAGATGCTTCATTGGCTACCCAAGTTTTCTTTATATAAGGTGAGATTAGGTCAAATTTTTTTGTTTAAATTGAATTCCAAAAGAGTTCCAATCGAATAAAAAAAAAGTAGCTCGCGGGCAAGAAAATGTGATCTGCACAATCATCAATATTTTTATCATAACTTTATCTCTCGATATTCGATTGACATTGTTCAAAATTCAAAGTTTGTTGGAAAGCTAACTCAAAGGGTTACAATTTTTTTAGAAATAGATTTTTTTCAATTCGAGCATTTACTAAGCCAAAAAAATGAGTTTCAATATTCGGATGAAAATCTGGATTCTAACTTATGCGGCTAAAAATTGATTATATTTCACTCATTTGACCTCTAATTACATTCAATTGATCTTATATGATCTTCAATCATCTTTTTGGGCCGAATCAACTATTGAATGTTTAAACTTTGATTCCAAAACTTTGAACTTCTTTCATTTTCGATTGTTTTTCGTTCATTTTGGGATAGTAACCATTTACGATCAGCCTTGAACAGTAATTTTGAACTTTATTAAGTCTGTTGGATACCTCACTATACAAAATATTATTTTGTGCCTCGTACAGTTAACTATAATCAAGTAATTGATTTGTAGTCATCTTATGCAAAATTTCCATGGTGACCGGATCATACATTTAACTTACATTTGGGAAGTTTATAATGAACACTCTGGCCAAACAATTTTTTATCCGCACATTTAATGATATACACAAATAATATTCATTATTGAAGAAATCGAAACAGTTCCCATTTTTTAGCATACATTAACATCAAACTTATCGAGAGTACTATTCCCTGTTAAGATGTGCACAAGCAACTGAGCAAGCCAGAAAGGCTTATTTCATCTTGAGGTGAATCTCAAGTACGTACATACATATTATATCTGTACCAACTTCAAAACCTTGAATTAACTAAATTGGAACTGTCCTAATTTCACTACCACTTTGTGGCCTCATTTCTGCATCAGTCCAATCGTCATCCTCATTCTCCCGTGACATTTCCTCCAGTGATTTACCCTTCGACTCGGGCACCAAGAAAGTGAACAACATTCCGAGGAAGTTGACAAAGCCAAGAACAATAAGCGCGTTCCTAACACCAATACCAGGAGGGTATCCAGCATCAGTCTTCTTTGGATTAGTAGGCTGAGCAGCATATAAAAATCCAAACGCCCCAATAATGGCTCCGGCCTTGCCAGCTGCTGCTGATATACCGTGGCTCGTGGACCTTAATCTTGCTGGGAAAATTTCAGCCGGGACAACAAATGTCGTGGCATTTGGCCCAAAATTGGCGAAGAAGAAAGTAAGTGAGTACATAATCACGAATCCGATTCGGTTCTCTCCCTGTTTCCAGTGCTTGTAAGGAATAGCCAAGGCAAACATAAACACTGTCATGCAGAAGAATCCCATTAACTGAATTGCAAATCTTCCGATTTTATCAATGAATACTACTGTAAACCAGTAGCCTGGTACAGTACTGCAGAGGGCAATAAGAGTTTGAGCCCTTGCAATTCGGTAAACTTCTTCGATTGCATTCATTGTTTTGGCAGCGGGAATCCATCCAATTGCAGTGAAAATATCCTTCTGGAAAAGATTCTGACTGTAGAAGGCAATGTCCAGCAAGAACCATGTACTCGTTGTTCCAAGCAAGTGACGTCCATGGCGTCGGAGGAATTCTTTTGTAAACAAGCCGAAACCATTCTCTTTCTCCTGAGAAAGCCTCTCGACCTTTTCAGGTTCTGCCTCGAGTTCAACTTGCAATACTTTGGACATATCAGAAGCGGCCTGTTTGGCATTCTTGGCTACCAATGCCGTATAACGTGCTGTTTCAGGCATCTTCATACGCCAGTAGTAAGTGAGTGCGGCTGGAAGTGCACCGAACATTAAAATTATGCGCCAAACATAATCAGCTTCTGGGACAGTTGAAGCAGAAGCTTTCTCTTGATATGCAGGGGCAGGATATCCGGCCTTAAATGATGCAGATACAATGATTGCTACCATTCCACCAGCCAAAATTCCGAAACCTTGCATTGCAAAAACTGCAGCAATAAACGCTCCACGAGTCTTCTTGTTGGCATACTCAGACATGATTGTGGCAGATAGCGGGTAGTCACCGCCAATGCCAAAGCCCAGCCAGAAACGGAAGAAGCAAAGTGTAGCCATAACACCCTTCGGTTGATTCCCAAACGACAGGGCAGAAGCAATTGAGCAAATGACCATAAGCATAAGGGTCATGCCGTAGACCTTTTTCCTACCCAATTTATCACCAAGCCACCCGAAGAAGAGTTGGCCTGCAAGCGTACCACAAAAGGCGACGCCATTGACGGCAGCAGACACATTTGGAGGCAAAGTGCCTGGCTTTTCAGACCCCTCGTGGTGGTAGTATATGCGGCCGAGCAATTTGGTCACCAGAGATATACAGAAGAGATCATAGGCATCTGTGAAAAATCCCATCCCAGCAATCACAATTGCAGTGAAGTGGTACAATTGTGTTTTGGCCACATCAAGTGCATTAAGCACTTGCAATTGCTGCTTAGCCATGACTTCTTCTCAATCTTGACTTTCAATTCTACCAAATTTTGTTTAAGTCCTATACTCTGTAAACCTAACGTAAGAAAGGATTATTAGTGCCAAACAAGAAGACAGGTGCTGATTACAGCAGACAAGGAAAATTTGAAACTTCTAAGAAGAAGAAAAAAGTGGGCCTGATTACAGCCGACAAGGAAAATTTGAAACTTCTAAGAAGATTAAAAAAGTGGGCCTGATTTTAATGATCTTGGCACCTACTACTAGAATTCAAAATTGGTGAACTAATCTGTGGACCTTCAATGACTATGATGTATTGATGACCCCATTTTTGGGCAAAAATTATATTTTTGAATAGTGTTTTTTTAGAGAAGGATAATTTTTCGATTTACGTGTAATATTATTTTATAGAAAAATGTGTAATTAAAAATAAATTTTTGAGAAAATGGGGGCCAAACATAGGCAAATATTACAACTCAAGGAGAACTTGTAAATGCAGTAAATGAGTTCATACCACAAGTTAACGGAGTGTAAATTAAAATTAATTTAATAATTACAGTATTTATATCAGCTGTTTCTTATAGTAGACAAAAATACAAGTTCATAAATAATCCCCTATGACTTACATTTTGTTTGATCTCATTTTTTTTTAAAATATATTTTTTTTTCTCTGTCTTTTTTCAACCACACATTTTTCAATAAAATAATATTACACGTAATCCAAAAAAATTTCCTTCGTTTTTAACTACACATTTTTCATCAATCTACTATTTTAAAATGTTTTATACTCAAAAAATGGAGCTCAAACATGTCCTTAATATAGTTTTTAGTGACTGTTTGAGCCTCATTTTTTTTCTAAAAATATATTTTGAAATAGTAGATTGATGAAAATTGTGTAATTAAAGCAAAGTTAATTTAATCAATGGTCACTAAACTTTGCTATTTTACTACTTGCTTGATGAAATTTAAAATGTTACTTTTTTTTCACGAACTGTGTTATATGTTACTACTTCCTCACCAAAATTGAAAAGGTTCCTCGTTGCTCACCCAAATTTAAACAAAGTCACCTAATAAGCACCTATATCATTTTTCATCGGTTTTACATATTGCAAAGTTTAGTGAGCAACGAGTAACTTTGTTCCAATTTAGGTGAGCAATGAGTTACATTTTAAATTTCGATAAACAAGTAGTAACTTAAAAACAAATTTTAGTGAGCAACGGATAATTTTTTAAAGATCGGCAAGCAAGTAGTAACCATTAACAAAGTTCAATGACCATTCATTAAATTATCGCGGTTAAATAATAAGGAAAAGTCTTGAATTTGCGTATAACATTATTTTATTGAAAAATATGTAATTGAAAAGAAGAAAGATAAAACTGTATTTTAAAAATAATGAGAATTAAACAACTACTTAAACTATGAAAAGTTAGTTGTTCCACATGTATAGGGTGGCGGTTCACAAAACCCCCCACTGACAACTCACTTAGAGGTGGGTCCCATCTCAATAAAAAATAAAAAAAAATTATCCATCCCCCTGTGTGAGTTGTCGGTGGGGGTTCCCCTGTACATGAGAACAACTCGAAAAGTTAACATTCAAAGTGTGTACAGTGCATGTACAAACACTTGCATTTAATTAATCAAACTTGTAGTGGAATTATTGTTTTCTTTCTTGATATTATCATGCAAAATTATTAGAATAGTAAAAAAGAAAATATAGGTAGCTCGGCCATATTACATGCTCAACAGAATTATATAAAACAACAAATAGGATTTTAACCTTTTTTTTTTTAATCGTAATCCACTTCTGCAGATAGGGTAAAATGAAAATAATATCGTATAGGCTCCAATACGAAAACATCAAGAAAATATGAAAAGACGACATTTCAACCAGAGAAAAAGAGGTACGTGAACCATAGGACTTGTGACAACATAATATTTCTTCGCACTTGAATTGATAAAGACATCTAGCAGAATAGAGTAATGTTATAATTCATCGTCAGTGGGATGAAAACACAGTCTGTGTCTTTAAATGATAGCTTAAATGAAATGTGAAATTAAATCACTCATCTAATTTCACCAATCATTTAATGGTACATTGACGTCACGTAGACTGTGTTTTCATATACAAGAAATTTTGATACACAGAATATTCAACCTTTCTATTTTGTAACTCATAAAAAAATAATTAAAAAAAAAATCATACTAAAGTAATGCTTCAAAAGTGATAAACGTAATAAACATGATAAAGCTGAGGATTTTAATATTTCACTACTTGGCGTAAAAAACCCCTCTCCCTTCTCCCCTCTCCCCTCTCCCCCACCCCACCCCACCCCAACCCAACCCCACCCAACCTGCCTCTCTAATTTCAACAAATAAATGGATGTACAGTATTTAACTATGTACATATGTTATATACTCTGCATACCTCAGGTTGACAGAATTCTTCAGAAATTCTCTGATAGAAGCTATGGAGATATTGTAGTGGAAAAAGAAACATAAAAAGTTATAACTTCTCTCAAAATATGGGCTTCGAGATTAGTAAGAGAGGAGAGTGTGGAGGGAAATGAAGGGGTTGTCGGGTATTTAACGCCAATGGATCCTCTCGCGATCTTGAAACGTATACGTATGGACTCAATAGATGAGGGTCCACCAGAATGGAGTCAACGATGCATTTTTTTAATAATTTATTTTTATAAACTTTGTAAATTAAGCACCCTTGACCCTCGTTTATTCCACGTCATAATAAGAGAAATATAAATTTTTGGAGAATGTATAATTAAAAAAGAATGAAAAGTTTTTTAGTTTACATGTAATATTATTTTATTAGAGAATGTGTGATTGATAAGATCAGGAAGAAAAATGAATTATAATTTATTGAGAGCCAAGGTAATATTGGGTGGACTCTTCAACTGCTCCATGTTTAAATTCTACTACTAAGTTTTATTTCTATTAAAGTCTTATCAAAAATAAATTTAAAAAAGGCAAATATATAGTATTATACATAATCCTGATAGATGCATATACGAAATCTGTATGGGGATGTATCTTGCCATTTATGGAGGGTGTATGGGCCTGGATGAAAAGGTTTAAATGTTCACATTGAGAAATTTTGGAATAGGATAGTCTTGTATGCACACGTAATAGAATTATTCTTTAAATCATTATATCTCGAACTCTGAAATACTTAAATTACAATGCTTCAATATTTGAGGTGATAAGATAAAGAAACGAGTGGTGGTAGAATCCACTCGAATATCGATTTTTCATGATTTGAGTCGGTTAAAGTCCAAAGTATCATAATTTGAATAATTGATCTAACCACTCGTCCATATACGACTATTCTATCGAAGACTTTCTCACGTGTAATTATGGCTATGAACACCCCTAATCCACATCCCTGAAAGTTCCATTCTTAAATGCATAAGAAAATCTCTACCAGCGTATTTACATTTGAAGATCATTTTTCATTAGAGAACATTTTTAAATTTAAAGAGAGATTTTATACACTAACAAATTCTTTATTTTTAGCTATTTATTTCACTTTTTCAACAATATATAATCTATTATTTCTTCCTCATTTTACGATTAATATATTTTTTCAATAATTCTATCTTAACACTTATAGTGTTAAGAGCAATAGTTTAGGTGGACATACTTGATATATTCAATTAAATTAATTATGTGACATTACATTTAAGTAAATATATCATTTAATACAATGTAGTTGTCATTTAAATTGTCGCTTGACATTAGCGATGCTGAATATCATTACTTATAGTTTTTTTTTTTTGGGATGCAAATAGTTAAAATATTCAAATGTCATTTGAATAATTTAGTATATGATGCATTTAAATTTGCACCTTCTTAAATGCAATCATTATAATATATTAAAGAGGGTGAGTTTAACATTCCAAATATAGATGGTCAAATTAACCATTAAATTAAAGAAACTATTTGAGCTTAATTTAAATACTCTAAAATCCAACTTCTTACCCCTCGTTGTCTTGTTGTTTTAATCACAAGTAAGCAAATGGTGCTCCTCGCATGTAAGCGTTGTGATTATGTATTGTGAGACATTATAACCTAACATTATTAGTATTTCCTATATAAAATTCGCTCGTATTATATATCATTTGTTATCTTACTAGTAGCGTCATACGATTGGAGTATACATTATTAGCTCCTCATTTGTATACTAACTTTTCTTCGAGAAAATAAGTTGGTATAAATTAAGTCTTTGCCTACGTGGCTTGCCAAATGGCGTCCAACTAAGTACCTTGAAAACATCAATTTTCTAGGTGTTAGTCTGTTAGAGCACATCCTTAAAGCCTAGTCTACGACAACCTTCAAGAAAACATAACTCAATGCAAATCTGCTATTTTTCGTTTCCGAGGTGGTCAATAAGAACCCTAGCCAAGTTAAATTGGCATTCGGACTCCGAGGCAATTAGTGTACAAAGCTTGATGCCTTAAAACAATTATAATACGACACTTTGAATTATATGTGATGTGATTGATACAACATCTCTGCAAGGGTGACTATGAATCAAATTTCCCCTTTCTCGTCTAGAACAGCAAGCGGGAGGTGACTGACCTATGATGGCTAGGATTTGATGTTTTGACGCTTGAAGTGTTTCGTTGGAATAAGGCCACATGTCAAGCATTCGAGAGACTTCAAGCTCATTCATTTGTCTATAAAAACACATTTGGTAGCATTTGAAGGTTATAAAAAGTTGGTACTCTCACCCTAATAATATAAAGCCCAAATCCTAGTTTTCATTTAAGTTTGTGTCACTCCTGCATTCAATATATTTTGTCACTGGTTGTTATTTACTAGCATATGAGCGCTTACAATTACAGCCTTCCCTCTTACATTTTGAGAGGTTGTCGTCTTGCGCCTTTAAGGCGTGTGTTCTAAGTTTGTAGGTTACTCGTACATAGAAAACAAATAGAAAAGGGATTTGTTTGCGAGTTAGGTTCCATCCAAATTTGAAGGTCAACAGATTCGCATCATC